GATTCCAAGGATGCACTTCTGGCTGCTGTCTCCCTGCCAAAGTTCAAGCTGCGCTGGGTAAAAGAAGAAGCCAGAAGAGACCACATCAAGTTCCTCCTCACAACGGAGTGCCGCGCCCTAACAACAGAAGAGCCTACAGCCCTGATGCCCGATGCCCCTCAACCTGCTGCTACCAGCGAGGATGACTTTTTTTCCTTTGATGTACAGCCCAATGCCACGGCTGATGTGCCCATGTCAGTGGAAACAGAGGTAAGTAGGCTATGGAAAGGTCCAGGCCATAAGTGCCTTTATAGTTCAGTTAATTTTACCAGCCTTCTTTGGCTGTATGCTACCTCTGTTGTATAGGCTATTTGGCTGTAACAGGTTTCCTGTTTAGCCTTCATTTTTTATTTTCAATTTTCTTATGTGTGTTTGATTTATTTTTAGTATTCTTGAAAAATGTGGTCATCAGCTAGAGTTCTAGCTATAAGTTATTTAAATTTTACCAGCCTTTGTTTGGTAGCCTATGTATTAGCCACTTCTTGGCAAATTGGCCTTTGTTTTATTGATAAGCAGTTGATAAGCAACTCAAAAGTAGTGTAACACATTACAATTCAGAGACAGTAATATTGTAATGTAACTAATTACTTTTAAATGACAGTAACTACTAATATATAATGTGTTACATTTTGGAAGTAACTTGCCTAACACTGCCCAGCAATCATCACAGCATATTTGGATATGACGAAAATATCAAATGAAATATTAAATTATTAATTTAATGGAATTGTTTTATATAGTCTGTTTATAGTTTATGTAGAATAAGAACATCATTTTGTTCTAGATTGTGACTGACTATAACACTCAAAAGAAAACCATGATGGAGATCGGTCTGCCTCTTCAAGTCACTATATAGCGAATGGCACCATTGAATTGTTAACATGTGCTTCTCTGGACTCAAATGTATCTCTGACAAAACGGTTTAATTAACATTCATGAAGTCAGAATCTAGAGGGGGGTCCCCTCCTCCTCTTCCTCCTCCAGGTTCTTCAAACTGGTTTGTGTATGTTTAGTGTTTTCCTCACACCAACAGCTCTCTGCACTCATTCTTATGATGCATTCATCACTGATCTACCTGACAGTGTTTTTTAAGTTTACAGTTTTGTTAAATGCATCACTTTCTTCATGTCCCCTATTTTTTTTAAAGCATATTCTGCCATCATTTCCTGTTGTGTGTTTTTACTCCACTAGATGTCACAGTGGTTGAAGCAGCCGTGAGGTTAGCGCGTCACCATGATATTCCTGCTCTTTCTCCTTAATGAGTCCTGTCAGCATCAGCAGCAAACACAGACATCTTCCATCTGATCAAGAATTCATTTTCAATTTGAGTTACTCTGAAGTCTGCATTCTGTCAAATAAAAAAATGAAGTTTATTTGTGACTTTATGCCTCTGAACTCTCTTCTGTTACACCTCTATCTCAGTGGAAAACTTCTTGCAGACTCAGCGAGAATTGAAATCCAGCAGAGGGAGGGAGAGGAGTCGATGAGTTCATACAGCAGCAGATATGTTTCTGTTCTCAGAGGTTATCAGGACTTATAAAACAATAGATGATCAAACACAGCAGACGAGCTCTGTGGGTTTCCTCTTTGCAGCCTCCTCCTCACCGTTATCTGAGGTTTTTCATATTAATAACACAACGACAGTTACAACCTTTGAATGTGGTTTAATAATTGTTCCAGGAACTTTAGTTTGTGCTGAAAACTTTCTCATGTCTAATCGTTGGTATTAATCTGTGAGAGAAAAACTGTTTTATAATGAACTCGGAAACTCAGACACTGATAATGTGAAACTTCTCTAATAAGCTCTGATACTTTTCAGATTTCACATTTAATCTTTAATGGAGTGAGCTGTTGGTGTAAAAATAAACAGAAGAGAAGGAGGTAGGAGGAGGGGAAAAAAAGAGAAGAATGACATTAAAAACAAGAAATCTTAACAATAATAATAAAAAAATGTATATCCACTTTAAAATATTTAGCTGATAATTACTGAAACCTGATGTAAGTCAGGAATTCTCATTTCCAAGATGTTTAAAAGGAACGATAACAGCAGACAGTATTGTCCCGTCTACATGGGTCTTCATTTTGATTTCTTTTATACGACTACAAAAAAAGTAAAATGAGCCGTTATTTAAAAGAAAAAACCCAAATGTTTTTGTTTTTTTTAAAGTACATTTTCTAGAAACACAACTGGTTTATTGTGTGAGATTATAAAGGCACTAATGTCCACCATAAGAAAAGCATACGATGCTACTGTTTGGATCAGGCCTGCAGTCACTGACCTCTATAATCACATTTAAAATCTAAAGAGATTCTGAGTTTTATAGTGAACTTACTTTTAATCTCAAGAACTCTGAGTTTGTCTTTGGAAATGTTCCCTTTTCTGTTTTTTGTTTGTTTTAGAATGGCTCTGATACGCCGTCGTACTTTTCTGCTGTCATGTGTGAAGCTCTTTGTTCTCCTTGTTTGAAAAGAGCTACACGAATAGAGTCATAATTATATTTTTGTATTATGCACACGAGGTACCTTCCTTTTTTTGCATTACTTTGCGTTGCATTAGAATCATTCATCTTACATCTAAATGTAAACTGAAGCCATCGCTGTCACTTTTTGACACCCAATAAAACTGATTGAAATGCGATGAAATGAAGAAGGTCAGAGTCGAACCCAGGCCGCCGGCCTCGAGGGAAATAGCCCTTTACATGGTTCTTAACCACTGGGCTACGCAGCAGCATGCACTGAAAACTAATAAAGTATAAAGTCGGGCTCAGAAGGTAAAGAGAAGTCTTTGTTCAGGATTCATTTTAAATCAAAACATTGTTTGTTAATTATAGAAACGACACAACAATGTTTAATATATGCATTTATTCTTTCAGCTCGTCAGTTCAACATACATTTTTTTTATTGCATTTACTTTAAAAAAACAATATTTTTTACAGGCGCACTGTGAACTAGCTAAAATGTAAAATCACTATATTTTAAATACATGAGATCTTTAGTAACTTCTCCTAAATTTGTGATTCTGTATTGATTTGTTAAAAACATTTTATTGTAATTAGCAGAAAAAAAGCAATCTATGTAAAGTCCCTACCAAAACAAAATATTTTAAATCCTCCATAAACGAGAAAATAAAATAAGAAAAGCACACAGCATGTTTTGTGTATCTTTCAGCTTCAGCTCTCCACGATGAAGCTGCTATGTCATGTTTTGTTTCTACATGTAAACAAGAGTATCATCAGCGTAGAGCTCTACATAAAACACTGACCCACCGTTTAAAGGGTCAACAGTGAACCTGCAGACAAATCAACACACTGAATTTTTACAAGTTTACTTTTCTTTGTGAGCTTTTTGTTCCTGGTCAATGTGTGTGCTTGTATTCATATCTTCCTGTACATTTTATTCTCTGGGTGTGTGAAACTATAAAGAGAGCTTGTTACGAGAGACTGAGGGCCTGATTAAGAAAGCATCTTAGCCGCTAATAGCTCTAAACATTGCGCATCATTTGCTAAAGTATTATACAAAACAATAACATTTACTGTATATAGTATAGGATTTGTTTTACACTGCTGCAAAATGTTGTTTGATCATAATTGCATATATTTAGTCATGATTGACATTTTTAAATTCATCTAAGCGATAAAGGAGATACATTTATGAGATGTTCCTGAGGACGGTCAGCAGGAAGAGTCCACAGCAGTACACCAGACTCTTCACTGTCAGCACTGTGTAGAGCAGCAAGAGCAGCTTCACCTTGTATGGAGACGGGACAGAGGGATCCGCTGCAGGTGATGGAACAGAAAAAGAATAAAATCATCAACAACGTCAGTCCTCTGTTTTTCTTTCTTTTAACAGAGTCACTAAATGAAGATGAATCTACACTGCACAAAGTCACCAAAACCTTCATTACCTGTATCTATCAGAGCCTCCACTGTTCCCCCCTCGTGCTGCACGTAGCAGCTGTATTCATAGCTGAACTTTGTCTGATAGATCTGTAAGACGGAGGCAGTACATCCAGACTCTCTGAGCTCCAGCTGCTGTCCGTCAGCAGAGGGCAGCTCCTCTAAACATCCACTCTCCGTTTGTCGTCTCCAGGAGATTCTGACCACAGGAGGAAACATGGCTGAGGCCAAACACAGCAGGGAGCTCTTCTCCTCCAGCCGGCCTCTGGATGCTGCCGGGTACACGCTCACCACGGGCTTCACCACCTGCTCCTCGTCTTTGAAAGAGAAACAAGTAACACACACAGAGTCAGCAGCATTAACGGCATTCAGTCTGATCCTAAACCTACATGAACTCTGGTCTCTAAAACACTCATGACTACAGCTCAGTAAAAATTAAGACACATTAATCATATCATCTCTATTATGGTAAATACATGAATCTGTTTATTAAAATAGCAGGTGTTGTCACAATAACATTTTAAGTTTAAAACATTTAAGTGAAATTAAATCCATAAAATAAAAACAAAGTAGGATTATAGCAGCAATAGAATATCATTTTATACTTTGTTATATTTTGTATTTATACATTAAATTATATTTTATCATGCTGTTTATAATTTCATTAAAATATATTTCCATACAATTTAAACAACTCTTATCTTTATCGGGGTTTGCATATAATCATGAATTACATATTAACCTTCAAGAAAACTCTTTAATCATTTTGAATAAATTAAAAACTAAATATATATGAATATATTTAAAACCATGTTGTTTACTCTAATTAAACAGATAAATAAAATCCATACAAAGTTATTTCAGAGTGTTTGTTATTTATTAAATATTCAGTGTTATGTTTAGAAATGTCAAATAAGGTCAAACTTGATTTACAAACTGAAGACAAAGGTTTCATAAATCCCAGAGAAGACATTTAAATAGACGTATGATAACGTGTGATATCAGACAACATATAGTTCAAATGATTGTCTCTGAAAAACAGTTTTTCATTCTGTATTAAATATATATAATGATATAAATGTGAATCATTTGAGCAAGTTTATTTGTAGATTCACACAGAGAAGAAGTCAACGTGTGATAACAAAGAGTGGGCTCTAGACCTGCTCTTTTTAAAGTGTCTTCAGATAACATTTGTTAGAAATCAGAGCCATACAAAGAAAGATTGATGAGTTGATTCACACAGTTCAAAACAGAGCACTAACAACATGTTCAAGTTTGAGCCCAACAATCATTGGTTTGACTATTTGATCCTTTTTAAAGCGTTTCATTCAAACAAAGTCTTTTTCTTCTAATGTGGCTTTCTAAGTCGTTAAAGATCAGAAACTCTTTGGAGTCGCCTCGTCAGTCGCACTTCTTGTCCTTAAACCTTGTTAGTTATTTTTAATGAACCTCTTATTGAGCCTCCAACTCTTTAAAGTGTACATTTAATATGGCCTTGAACCCTGATTACATTTAAAATATCATTTAAATATCTGTTTGAAGACACCATCAAATCAAATATAATTATTGTGAGCTTTATTTTACAGGTTTTTATTTCAGGATCATTCAAATGTTCTTTAAGATAAAGATAAGATAAGATATACTTTATTCATCCCAGCAGGGAAATTTAGGTGTTCCAGCAGCCAGCATACATACAAACACACAACACAACACATATATACATACATATCCCACCCATACAAAAAAAACATGAGCCCACAATACAGTTTGATATATGATATATGCAACTCAGGCTAAAGTTTAAAAGTTTAAATGTCTTCTGTCCTTACTTAAAGGGGAGTCGTTATAAAGTGCAAAATTTATCGTTTTATTGTCGTTATAAATTTACAACATATGAAACAGAATAACTTCCTTAACTTTATTTATGTGTTGAGATTTCAACATCTTAGAGGTAACATCTTTTCATGTCTCAATAGCTGCACGCCTTAAAAAAAATCTCCTCTTATTATAAAACTTTAATATTTAATGACTCAAACAGGAAAAGGTAATTAAAGTTACATTTCAGACGACTGAAGGAAATCAAAGTTTATTCTTACCTGAAACAAAGAGTCTAGTTCCAGAGCCAAAGATCAATCAAATCCCCCACAGTGAAAAGACGTGATACAAAAACCTGTCTGCTGGTGAACTACACAAATCATGAACCAGGATCAAACCTCAAACACATTTCTACTTCAGCGTCTCTTCCTCTTTTTCTTCCTCTCAGAATGTTTCTCCTTTAACGGTGATGTCTGTTGTTTCATTTGTTAAGTCCACAATGTTTGAACTGGAGCTGAAGGATGGATGAATGGACTGGTTTGAAGTGTGGTACAGACCTTCTTGGTCCCCTGAGGAGGAAATAAATGAATTCACTTTGTTGATCGAGCACTGGGGATGAACTGAGCTCTCTGTTCTTTTGCTAGTTTCATTGATGATCTCATGATAGAAAGCTGTGTTCTCACTTCACTTTGCCATCGAGCACACTGATATTAATACAGACTGTCCAGTGTTTATTACCCACGTAGTACAAAATGTAGTTATTTGATCCAGCAGAGTTTTTTCTTAACTCACCACAGCAGAATATTGTTCATTTAGAGACGCTGTAATAGAGATGATGCTGGACCTATAGCTCAGATCAGCAGAATTATGCTTGATTCCTCACATACATTTTCTGAAACACAACATTTTCTGAGACCAGGGGCGTCACTAGGTTTTAAGGACAGGGGAGGCTTAGCCCCCAAGAGATGCATAGGATGTGAGCGAACGTAGCGCTCGAGCACAAATTTCACAAACAGCTAACAAAGACTGAGAAATTATTTATTATTATTATTTCAGTCTGTTTTTTGAATACAGTACAAGAACAAACACAGGTTTGCACAGTAACAGTATGTTTACAGCATTAACAATAAAAGTAAGCCAAGTACACCATTTTTAAATAACATGGCTACAATTGCGAGTTACTTAGTGGGTGGAAGCATCAAAGAATGCCGTCTGTTTTTAAGGGTGGCAAATCGGTCTATCACTCTGTTGTGACTCATGCTGAAGCGTGTCTTTTCAATTGACATGACTGCAAGACTGTTAAGTCTTTTCTGACCCATTGTTTGATGCAGCCAGGAGTGCAGCAGATGCAGTGCACTAAAGGACCTTTCACATGAGCAGCTGCTTACAGGCACTGTTAGGGCAACTTGTATGGTTGCCTTCAGAGAGGGAAACATGTCTGAATCAAGGAGGTTGTGCACAGACAACATATCTTTGGGTGAACATCCAGCCTCTGTTTTCCGGGCAAGAAAGTTTCTGGCCACCAGAACCTCCTCTGTTTTCAGGTCAATGCTGTAGTGTTTTGCAAGTTCATTCAAGTGTGATTCACTCAAGAAGTTCTCACATTTAGGACTGCATGCCTGGATGCCTTTTAGTAGCCCTGCATCTACACTGCAAAATCTTTGCTCAAGCTCGCCAACCATCCTCTCCACACAAGGGAAAAGTAACTCTCTTCTCAATGTGTCTGAGTTGTTCAATTCAGTGCGTGAACCTGCAGTTGCCTCCAGCACAAAATCCTCCATTTTCCTCTGTTTATTCCTTGTCTTGGCACCTGGTTCAGGGATACTGTGGGTGTGGCACAGGGCTTTGGTTCTCTCATACAGCTCTGTGGCAAATGCATCTGTGTGTGTGTCACACACTGCTTGTTTGCAGATCAAAGCCTCTACCAGGTCTAAAGTCTCTTTCTGAAGGAGCTTGTGGAGTCCTTCAGTTACAGACAGAAGTGACTGAAACATCAGTAGTGCATAGACTGCTGAGAACTTATAGAGCTTTGCTCTGAGACCAACAGCTATGAGGGATCCAATGGCAGAAAGGCACTCCAAAATGGCAGACAATGTCTCAAGAACTGCACTGATTGATCGCAACTGACATGCCCAGCGAGTGTTTGAAAGTTGCACAAGCTCAATTGTTGTCAATCCAAGCCTTGTGTGAGCCTCCATGAACTTATGATGACTCACTAGGGAGGTGCTGAAGAAAGAGTACACACACTCCAACAAGCTGAAAAGCTCCACAGCCTCTGGGATGGCCTTGCAAGTGTGGCACAACACCAGGTTAAGTTCATGAGCATAACAATGCACATAGATAGCTTCAGGATGGAGCCTTCTAAAATGTGCTTGTACACCTCCAGTGGACCCACTCATGGCGGCTGCACCATCATATGTTTGTGCTACACACTTAAGCTTTGCAAGACCATTGTTTTGGATCTGCTGCTGCAGCTCATTTGCAATGGACTGGGCATCAAATGATTTTATCTCTGCAAGTGCTAGGAAACGTTCTTTCACTGCCCCCTCTGACACATACCTGACACAAACAGCTAACTGCTCTGATTTTTCATCCCTTGCCTCATCTGCCATGATGGCATAGATTTTGGACTTTGTCATTTCAGACACAATGACACTAATAACTTCCTGGGCACAACAGTCAATCATGTCATTCTGGGATGTTGGTGAGATATAATGAGCATTTGATGCACGCAAGAAAATTCCCTCCGTTTGTGCTGTCTCTACCTTCATCATGGCCACGAAAAGGGAGTCCCTGTCTCCTTAACATAGAAGTGACTGCAACAATTCACCTGAGATCAGGCATGGACAGGCCATCGGGCGTACTGGGCAATGCCTGGTGTGCCGGCCCGGGGCTGTCATAATTTAATTAAAAGAGTATATTATTTTTTATCGACCACGACGGTATTTGAGACACGAAACACGGCCCATTGGTTGATTTTCTTGAAGGACATTGGGCTAGTCCAATGAAATCTCTCAGCCCTCCTCGGCCCGCCCCTCCCCTCCCCAAGGTTATCAAATTTTGCCATTAAGCTGACCGGAGTTGGAGAGAAGTGAGAGTGAGTGAGTGTGAAATGGATAAGAAACAACAAAAGCACAAGGGGGGCGCAGAGAAGCTCAGAGAAAAAAGGCTAAAAAGCCTACAAGTGGACGCAGCAAAATGTGTCAAAATCACTAATATGTTTGCAAGTTCGACTGCAGCAGTGAATGCAGGGCCGTCGACATGTGCAGAAGCAGTCCCATCGAGTGCACAGGTGGATTCAGAGGAGGAGGAGGAGAGAGACGTGACCCAGCAGCAGCAGGGACAGATTGAGGAGGAGGAGGAGAGAGACGTGACCCAGCAGCAGCAGGGACAGATTGAGGAGGAGGAGGAGAGAGACGTGACCCAGCAGCAGCAGGGACAGATTGAGGAGGAGGAGGTCAGAATAGCTTCTGTCAGCCCGGTAAGAAGTAGCCGAAATGTTAGCAGAATGAAAAGAGATGTCTCATGTAGGGAGGGCGGAGGGCTGATGGGAATTGTGGCACTGTGGCCATCTCTCCCAAGATGAAAGTCTCTGTGAGTAGTGAAAGACCGTATCAATTTTTTGAGATGGTTACTCTCTTCCATGTAGACTACTGCGCTTTATTTGAATTTTTTAAACAACACAATGTGCGCATATATCCTCTGGCAGAGGTGTAGTCTTAGACTTAGACTTAGACTTTCTTTATTGTCATTCAAACTTGTACTTTACAATGCAGATAAGAACGAAAGTTTGTTGCATTTGGTTGTAGTGCTAAAGGATAAAAACAGCAGCAAGTATTTACATAGAAAAATAAGGTGCAGATATAAATAGATATAAAAAGAAAAGCTATGAGTAACAGTACTATACAGATAAATATATTGCACGTTTGTGATGTATGTTATATTGTATTTTACAGTCCAGTGAGGTAGTCCTGTGTGGGGGTTTGAGGGGGAATGGAGGGATTATTTTTTTGTGTTCAAAAGTCTTATGGCCTGTGGGAAGAAGCTGTTACAGAACCTGGAAGTTGTGCTTCGGAGGCTGCGGAACCTCTTTCCAGATTCCAGCAGTGAAAACAGTCCTTGGTGGGGGTGGGAGGTGTCTCTGCTGATTTTCTGAGCCCTGGTCAGACAGCAGATTTTAGCGATCTCCTGGATGGGAGGAAGTGGAGTCTTAATGATTTTTTCTGCCGTCCTCACCACTCTCTGCAGGGACTTCCAGTCGGAGGCACTGCAGGCTCCGGACCAGACAGAGATGCAGTTTGTTATGATGCTCTCTATAGTGCCTCTGTAAAAGGTGGTGAGAATAGGAGGAGGGAGGTGTGCCGCAGAAAGTGCATGCGCTGCTGCGCTCTTTTCACAAGAGCTCCGGTGTGAAGGGACCAGGTCACAGTGTCTGTTATCTGCACCCCCAGGAACTTTGTGCTGCTTACTCTCTCCACTGCTGTGCTGTTGATGAGGAGTGGTGTGTGGCTGGGCTGGCGCCTCCTGAAGTCGACGATGATCTCTTTGGTTTTATCGACGTTCAGGGTCAGGTTGTTGGTTCTGCACCAGTCAACCAGATGTTTCACCTCCTCTCTGTAGTCCATGTCGTTGTTATCACGGATGAGGCCCACTACTGTTGTGTCGTCTGCAAACTTCACGATGTGGTTAGTAGTGGTCCTGGCGCAGCAGTCATGGGTCATCAGGGTGAACAGCAGCGGACTCAGGACGCAGCCCTGAGGGGAGCCGGTGCTCAGGGAGATGACACTGGAGGTATTGTTGCCCACCCGCACAGACTGGGGTCTGTTTGTGAGGAAGTCAAGCAGCCAGTTACATAGGGGGGTGCTGAAACCAAGGGGGGCCAGTTTGCTCACCAGATGCTGCGGGATGATTGTATTGAACGCTGAGCTGAAGTCCAGAAACAACATCCGCACATGTGTGTCCTTCTTTTCCAGATGTTTTAAGCCCAGGTGGAGTGCAGAGGAGATGGCATCCTGTGGAGCGGTTAGCAAACTGGTACGGGTCGAATGTGGGGGGAAGTCTGGAGACAATGTGGTCCTTTACCAGCCTCTCAAAGCACTTCATCATAATGGGGGTTAGTGCTACAGGGCGGTAGTCATTGAGTGAGCAGATTGTGGATTTTTTAGGCACTGGTATAATTGTAGCAGTCTTTAAACATGATGGTACCACAGCCTGGATCAGCGAGGTGTTGAAGATGTCTGTGAGAACCCCAGCCAGCTGGTCAGCACATTCCTTAAGCACCCGTCCCGGTATGTGGTCAGGGCCCGCTGCTT